GAGAAACTTTAACAACCCCCAAAATTCAAACAGCTGTGATCTCTCACCCTGACTGAGGAAACCAAGCAGGACGAGTAAAGTTAGAGGCAACATCTTCCTGGTGCATGAAGTCAGTGTCAGACTCTGACTGTCCTGTCTGTACTTAAACTCTAGGAGCAGTGAAGCACAGATGTCATGCAAAACATCATTTGGATACAGCAGTAGGAGTGGGAGTTAAAAACCACCACTGCTGGAGATGAAAAGTTTTTATTTCCATCACTGAGTTTCTTCATTTGAAAACTCCCCCCACCTTTCATTAGACCTCTTATAGAAGATACCACTCTGCTGGCAGTTTACCGTTATAACAACTGCAACTATCTTTTAGGTATTTTTTAGGTAGGTAGGTAGTTAAAGTAAATTTTTTAACCGATGCTACGTTTTTTGAATGTCACCATTAAACACCTTTTACGTTTTTACATTTGGCGTTCGTTTTTTTGATGAATGCCACTTATTGCTCTCTTTTTTAAATCTTGAACAGACGACCGTTTTGTTTTTCACCTGATCCTGAAACGTTGCACGAGAGGACTCTCTGATTGGTCAGTACGTGGACCACCTCCTCCCCCTGTTGTCACTCAGTCGGGTGGTATGTACTGTATATATGTCCGTTAGAAAAGAGCCGAACCCTGTGGATCCAGTTATTTCCAGGAGACGTTGGGAAGACGGGCTCATTTTTAAATTTAATCATTTTAAAGAAGCCAGTTGGATGAGAGTCATATTTCGGAATAATCACTGTGAGGATTCCGAATTAAAATATGTTGACTGAAATATTGATTACTTTTGACGTGTTGACCTTTAACATTCCACAAGATGGCGCCGTATATCATTGCTCGGAGAGTTGCTTTTGTGTACATTGTGTGTGATGAATAACTTCAATAACCTGTGGGTTAATGGGAAAAAAACGGGTTCTTCTTTCACCTCCACCAAACGACATTGCGTTTGGCAATTTTCACTCTCTGGCCTCTCTTTACTGTAATGTAGTGTCCGCTGTGTGTTAGCCATTCAAACTAGGGTAGTGTGAACAATTTAGTAAATGTGCTGCTTCTTAATAAAATATCGATAAAAAAACAAAACAAATAAACGTGTACTTCGCCGCCCTCCTCTGCAGGTGCTCACTCAAAGGAGGAGCTAAGGTGAATCGGTATGAAACGTAGCAAAATAAAGAACGACGGCCAACTCTGACTCGGTTCCTAGCTTTCACGGTCGATAGACTCGGCTCGTCCAGGACGTCACAACTCCACTCAGAGCTTAGCCACACTAGCCAGTCATCACCGGCCCCAGCAGCGGCAGCAGTGGCAGTGAAGTAGCCACCGAGCGTCACTCTAAGGTTAGTTCAAACCAAAATATTCGTTTGAAACTATTCCATTCAATCACCGGTGTTCGCGTTCGGCACTTTACCAACATTCTTACACTGTCTGTATGAACCACAGGCCCGAAAATGAGCCACTTTAAGGAGCGTTTCGTGACTCTGCTTCACGAGAAGAACTTTTTCACAGACCAGCTGGCAACACTGGAACAGAAAACGGGAGTGAAGAGGGAATATATCGCGCTGGGTATGTAACACGACCGTTAGAACTTAGCGAAAATTCCTCCAAAAGTTTTTAAATGTACTTTATGCACACTGAATGTGTGAACATTTGCAATGTTCGATTCTTAACGCGACAGAACATTTGCAATGTTCGATTCTTAACGTCGCCTCCTCCTCCTGTGTTTATGACGAGCCCCCAGAGCTATGGAAGGCACCAAGGAGTAAGTTAGCTAAAACCTTCACAGAGGACAACGGATTATTTAAAAAAACAAAACAAAAGTAACGTCACATGTCAAACTGAGCTGCATCAGCTGTCTCCGGTTCCATTTTAACCATGTACTGGAGATACATGGTTATTTAATCTGTTTGCACACGCCTATGTGATAATACAGTATTGCTGTTGAATGAACTCCCTAGTCTAATACACTAGGAGCAGCGCCACCCAGCTCCCAAGGGGGTATTTTTGTCACGTCCTAAAATATCCAGTGCAGCCCAGAGGTATCCACACTGACCAGTGCAGTAGACTGTTCTCAGATGGCTGTCAGGGGATGAAGTCCAAGTCTGATCTTTAACATCACGAATTGATGCATTTTTACCAGAGCGTTTCCTCTAGACCACACGTGTCAAACTCAAGGCCCGGGGGCCAAATGCTGCCCGCCAAGTTGTTCTGGTTGTCCCACTGGATAAAAGCATTTGGTAAAGTCCATGCAGCAGAGTTTCTTAACCTAAGTAATTAAAATACATCTTAAGCAATCAAATAATAATCAATGGAGTAGTTACATCTATACCAGGGGTCCTCAACCTTTTTGTTCCAAGGACTGGTCAGCAAGTACCACCTGTTACTAAAGACAAGTAGCAAGGTGCTGAGCATTGAAGAATCATTACATTTTCAAAATAAAACACCTGTTCGACTCTATTCTGAATGACCTATTGTACTGGTCCGGACTGGGGGTTGGGGATCCCTGATCTACACAGTCTTCCATTTACAACCGGCCGTTCAAGGGGAACTGTTTTGCTGATGTGGCCCCCGGTGAAAATGAGTTTGACAGCCCTGCTCTAGATGAACCTTATTAATCCAGCACTGTGAAAGTGCTTTAACAACTGAATGAACATCATGGTGTTTGCCAGTTTAGTCCTATTTGTGTTTATATTTATTCATAAACGGTCCAGAATTAATATAAAAATAGGGGAAACAAAAAGTCACACATTTAACACAACAAAAGTTTTGTTTTCAACACATTGATTTTGGTTTTGAATATGATTATATTTGGATGAAGCTAAATGAGGAAATACTCTTTAAACACAGCTACAGTTTCTTTTTTAACTTCCTGTAACTCTAGTGGATAATGTTCATACACCTCAGGCCTGGTTGATCTAGTCAGGGTGACCTAGATTCAAACCCACCGTCTCCACCATGATTGGTTTCTGGTTGGCTGCCAGCGATGGCAAACGCGGTTGCATTTAGACAGGAAGTCTCCTGCTCACTGAGTAGAAATGTGCTGTTATTCTATGGTATACTTTCATATACCGTACTATAAAATATTATTCTATACTATGGACCGCTGTGCTACGGCTATACTGTGTTTACTATGCAGCACTAGGCTAATTTATATCAACCTTGTTACCAACTTTTTTTAATTGATGCTCAAGCACAAAACGCAGTGTAAAGCCATCAGAGACGGGGGCAGATTCAGATATTTTCCTACTTTAACATTTAACTTCTCAACTGACCACAGGTTGATAGTATTTAACATGATCTAGTGTGGGCTTCAATATCTTGTTTCAATCAAACGATTAGTATGTTGAAGAAGGTCAATGTTAACATTAAGTCATTGATACCACGTAACGTCTAACCTGTCTGACTCCAGGCTACAAATATTTAACCCAACAGACTAGTTATTAAATCGACGTCTGTTGACTTCACCAATGAGCCTGGGTGCTGTTATGTTGGAGGCTCCGTGTCATTGTACAGTTCACAGATTCTGTGGTCTGTTAATGTCACCTCACATCCTCCTAAATTGTTTTTCTTTGTGATGAAGCAACACCGACCAAACCAGCTCCAAAAGCAAATACTCTAATGTGCTGTATGTAAATAAGCACTTCACTTGTCTGCACCCGGCACTTGACGGAGCAGACGTACTGTATTAGCGTCTGTCCCTACCTGTGGTTAGTAAGACAAAAGCCACTCAGCTGGTACTTTGACCAGGATGCAGCTGTGTGACAAACGTGTACGATGATAATGGCCGGCTCACCATATCAGCATGTTTGTACTTTGCCTTGATCCAGACCGGTTACGTTAACACGGTTACGAAACAACGCCAGTCATCCGCTCAGCTGAGGAGCGTCTCAAGTTCAGCTGCTGAGTCTGGAGTCATCTTGGAGTGTGAAGAATGATCTGTTGACTACAGAGGACAGATCACAACTGCACTGAGCCTCTGAAACTAAGGCGTTCGTGACAATGATTTAAGGAGAACTAAAGATTTAAGATGAGAAATTATGTCAGGATAAAGTTGAATCTTTTCCTGATTGGAACAAAAAGTTCTAAGACGGGTGTTCTCCTTCCAAAGGTGTCTGATTTAACTAACTGAAACATTTTGGATTTTCTGGGATTTTATTGTGTTGGGCTTTAAAGGGTTAAACTATCTTTAAAAGACCAGAAACTTCAATTTTTAATCTTAAATGATCTAATAAAATGTTTGCATTTGCTGAGATTAGTTTTGTCAATTGAATAGACCAGTAGTTCCTAACTTTTCTTGGTGTGAAAAGAGAGAATTCACATAGAGATTTGACTTGAATACAACATGTGAAGAGAAAACACTTGTAATGTTTGACCATATCCTCTTTTACTAAAACTTTTCTAGAAGAAGGCCAAGTTGGCTGTGAAATCTGCACTATGTCACGTGACTGCATTCATGACTCATTTTCTGTGGGCAGGTCAGGTGGTTGTTGTTGCTGCTTACTCACAAAATTCTGTGTTCAGCTCCTTTATTATGCCCTCATCAGAAGCACCAGTTCTGACCTTTGTCTGCCAAGGCTGTGACTTGAACAGAAGAAGTCCACAGAGAGCTGGACACACTGGTCATAAATGACAGGGACATTTGAGTATGAGCTGCGACAAGCAAATGAGATGTAAAGACCTGGAACAGTGTTTAATACAGGCTGCAGTGTTCATGTGAACTGAAGAACAAGATCATACGTGTCGTGACTCATTTTTCCTGCAGATAAGAGATAAGCAAAAATCATTTGAATAATTGGAAATATGCATAAAATCTGTGGGGTTAAAGGTTTGTGTGCATTTGATACTGAAGTTGTTAGTTGATTAGTTGAGTTGAAGAAATTTAAACTAAATTAAGTGACAGAATTATCAACAAATTGTTTTAAAAGATCCAATAAAATGAACCAGGTTTCCTAAAGTCATTGTTTCCAGTGTGAATATTTTTCTATTTTTGCTTTTGATAACCAAACCTTTACGTTTCACACTTTGAAGTCGAAAACAATCACGTTAACTCTGTTCTGGGGTTTTTTTCTGATTACAAATTACCAGTTGAATATTTAAAAGTTTCTAATATTTATTAAGTATAAATATAAATATAAGTTGATTTAAACCCTAGAGGTCACACTAACTACACTGTGCAAAAGTTCTAGGCAGGTGTATACAATTACAAGAATAACAATTTCTGAAATTTTTTTTATTTTCAGTATTTAAAGCAAAAATGGAGAACCAGAAGCACGTTCTCCACATTTGTTAACCTTTAGGGGGGGTTAGGAGTATAGTAGTGTTTTTAGCCCTGTCTGTGGTAGCTGTCACTGTTGCGTCTGCGTTCCCTTTGCTAGAAAATGAGGTCCAGCAGCCTGTCTGTGGTCCAGCAGCCTGTCTGTGGTCCAGCAGCCTGTCTGTGGTCCAGGACCTGCACTTTTATTTTGGGGGAAACATCTGTTTTTGTTTAATGTGGTCTCCATTTGCTGTCGTGATCCAATGAGAATTGCGTCCCCAAAACATAGGCAACGAGTTGGTGCGCAGTAGAGTACATGCACAAAAACCAAACATTACAGGTGTCATAAATGCACACCCTATGAATATGAAAGGTCAGTTGTTTAACTGCACGTTGTGTCTCATCTACATGTCTGCAAAACAGAAACTCCAGTTAAATTCGAATACTTGGAAAATAGTTCTGTTCCGTGTGAAACAATGTTTTAATTCAATGTTCAACAGTGTAAATAAAGATGAACCCTGTGCTGGGTTCACTGTGGGTCGGAGTGTGTTTCTGTAGAAGGACTGCAACAGACGAACAGAATGGCTGTAATATGTGACATAATGAGATGTCAAACGTGTCAAACCTACGGTTCGTCAGTCAAACATGAGCCTCTGAGCTCAGCTCTGTTTTCCACGTCTGCTCTTTCAGTCAGGGATTTAAATCCCAGTGTTTGACTTGTACCTGGTGCTCCTCCTCATCCTGGTACTGTTCAGGCCTGACATCCTGCTTCCACAGTCCACAACAACAGCTCCATGACTTCAGCCTCAACGCCTGACTGGTTTGCTAGCCGTTAACAGTCCTCTCCTCTTCTTCTCCCTCTGCAGGTGCTCTGAGTGTGGTCGGCTTGTATCTCCTGTTTGGATACGGAGCCTCTCTGCTCTGCAACCTGATTGGCTTCATTTATCCAGCTTATTTCTCGTACGTATTATAAACGAGTGCATTTCTGTGGACACTTTACCAAAATTGGTGTGGGAAAAAAACAGTGTCGTCTTTAAATCAGTTCATTTGAGCTTTGTTACATGAAAAGATAGATATAAAAATAACAGTTAATATATTATTTTTATATATTTTTTAGACCTTTGGTTTGTTATATTTACCTTCTCTCTTTTTGTTAGATTGTACAGAATGGTCAAATTGATAATTCCCCTAAATACTGTGACTCCTTCGTATGAACTGTATGACTTTGTCAGGCTGTAAACAAAGTTTGGTTTTATTCCCAAATATTTTCTTCATGTTTTTTGATTATGGTTTCACACACACTGATGTTTCTATTGGACCGTCCCAGCTGTCAATCAATTACACTGTCCACTCATGCACCCAATTAAAATCATTGTGGCCTTTAAATAGATTGGTCATGAAATGATTGTCACTTTGTTTATCCACACTCTATGAGGCCGTGCTCTTCGTCACATGCTGTAACTCCCCGTCGTTCCCTCCTGTTTGTGTTCTCATCGCTCCTCTTTTTCTCACATCCTCTCAGCATTAAAGCCATCGAGAGCAACATCAAAGAGGACGACACACAGTGGCTGACATACTGGGTGGTATATGGGCTCTTCAGCATTGTGGAGTCCTTCTCTGACATCTTCCTCTTCTGGTTCCCCTTTTACTATGCTGGAAAGGTAGGGTGACCTTTGACCTCCCAGGTTCTTTTACTGTCGGTGATATTTTTATCTGGACTTTTCCTCTCGACTGCCTGTGCTTTGTAACGCCTCTGTGTGAAGTAGAAAAAGCACTTGCTCGGGTCGGTCACATGTTTTGCCGGCCTCCTCACACTAACTAACTACATTAGTTTAAAGTAAGTCATGGATTTAATAATGAATAAAAAAGGAAAACGTTCATAGACTAACTTCTATTTTTATTGACATGGACGATTTCTGTTTTTTTTTTCAGCCACATGATATAATTCTATAATTATTTAATGTCAATAATTAACATCAACTATAGTTGAGTCATGATACCAAACAACAGTTGAAACAGTTCATCAATGACTGTAATAGATGTAGATTTAAATTTTGGTGTTGTAAAAAAAAGGGAAATTTAACAAAATTTATATTTAATTATAGACAACATGTATCTTTATGATAAATATCTATGTATAAATGTGTACGTGTGTGTGTGTGTATACACTATATGGCCAAAAGTATTCGCTCACCTGCCTTGACTCGCATATGAACTTCAGTGACTCATTCCTAATCCAGAGGGTTCAATGTGACGTCGCTCCCTCCTTTGCAGCTATAACAGCTTCAACTCTTCTGGGACGGCTGACCAAGGTTTAGGAGTGTGCACAGGTGGCATCCTATCACAGTTCCACGCTGGAATTCACTGAGCTCCTGAGAGCAACTTATTGTTTCACAAATGTTTGTAGAAACAGTCTTCATGCTTGGTGGCCATGCTGTGGTCATGGAAGTGATTGGAACGTCTGATTCCACTTATTCAGATCAGTGAGCGAATACTTTTGGCACTACAGTGTATATATATGTGTATATATATATAGTTATGTTTATGATCCATTTTTGATCTTTTTTATGATATTGGTGGTGTTATTTGACCAGCACTAGTGAATATTAACTGCAGTTCTGTCACTCCCGTTCACTCAGTGCTTGTTCCTGATGTGGTGCATGGCTCCGGTGACGTGGAACGGCTCCGACATCCTGTACAAGCGCGTGATCCGACCGTTTTTCCTGAAACATCAGGCTGCAATGGACAACGTGGTCAGCGATCTGAGCGCCAAGGCCAAGAACATAACTGACGCTGTTACGAAGGAGGGTGAGGAATTCACAGTATACGTTCAAGTGTAGCCACGATCACACACTGATCACATAGCTGCAGGCAAATACTACAGTATAGCATAGTATTAGTGCATAATCCACACATTAAACTGGATTAGTAAAATCTTTTTTGTACCTTTTTTATACATTAGACTTTTTATACTCTTTATACTATTTTTGTTCTCTGTTTGTTTCATCAGCTGTTAATCGAGTCCTTCATGACAAGGATCAATGAGACACAGTGGAAGGCTCTGTGTGTGTGTGTCTCTTATGTGTGTGTATTCATGTATTACATGTCAGGGTAGTTGGAAGGGTACTTGTTTGTGTTGTGTTGTTTTGTTTGTCCTCCATGACCAACGATGAAGATCAGCCGCGCTGTCATGACATGAACTGAAGTGTCCTCGTCGGTGCTGCTTCACTGCCATCGGTACTGCTCAGACAATCAGGGAAACGGTGACATTTTGTGAGATCTCTTCTTCTTTGACAAAATAAGACTTTGAAATGTTTTCTAAAACCACCATTGTCTAACTGTCTGAAGCAAAACTGGGAGTTTTGACGATTGTTCTTACAAGCCTTAATGTCAAACTGAGCATTAAGACTCAGTTTGAATTGTCGCTTCTCTCACTCTAACTGTTTGACTTCTGTTTTTTTCCCTTTTTACTTGTTCTAATTTATCATCTCAGACTTGATGGCTAATTAAAACTGGAATTCTGATGAAAAAAAGCTGTTTCTCTTTTTGTCCTTTTGTCGTTTGTTGCTAATTCCGTCTCATGAAAGAATTTTTACACAGTCATGATTTCTGTCAGTGTCTAAGAAGCAGAGGTGGAGGCAATAGATCATCTGGAATTAAAGCCTCTGCACAGTTGGTTGTGGTTCATTTTACAGGTCAAGTATTTGTACTATTAAACATTCAAGTATTTACAGTAAATATAAGAAGTGACGCCAACAATGTAGACATGGAGGAAAAAAAGGAAGAAAACTAAAAGCTCCTCTTCTGTATTTCATTTGACCTGGACGTTGAACGTCCTCCACTTGACTGTAACAGGTTAAAAGATCAAGTTCATTTGCCTGCTTTCAGGAAGCCTAACCACCCACATTATAACGTATGTTTGGACCTGTGTTCACGCTTGAGGAGCTGTGAATAAAAGCCTCTTTGTGTCCGTGCACTGGCTGTAATGCGAGGGAAACGGTGCAGGGAGAGGCCTGATGGTCGCACACAGCCACAGGGAGGCAGAGGAGACCAGCTGGAAATGGCTGCTGTGGAGCTGTGTGCTCTGCTGACTGATCACTTATTGATTGTACAGGAATCAAACTGATTAACTCATAACTGTACTGAGATGGTGGCATAACAAACCTTTATGAAAGCTGTTTTACAGGACGTGGATGACGCAGTTACTCCTAGAAAATGAGGGACTTGATCGATCCTTAGGTACAGTAGGCTGGCAGTTTATTATTTCATCTTTTACCTCAATATATATTTGTGTGTATTGATGTATATATATATGTGTGTGTGTGTGAATATATGTATGCCTATATGTGTGTGTAACATAGCCATCAAGATGCTACAACAGAACCCGACCAGTCAACCACCAAACCTGGATACATTTGAAGAATCTCCTCAAAGAAAACTGTGAGAAACGCCTCCCTTTTGTCTTTTATTTAACTGTTTTGTTCTTGAACGTTGCAAAAATATACAGCAGCGCTGGTTAAAAAAAAAAATATATATATATGAATTGTTAATTGTTTATTTAAAAATTGTGTTCTTAAATCTGTTTTTATTTTTTTTAAACATGTCAATGTGAAATGTTGGCAGTTTCCAAGCCAAAGCCAGCATTTAGTGCAAACCGCTCAACCCTATTATTATCATTGTTGTTGTTGTTGTTGTTGTTGTTGTTGTCGTCATTGTTGTCGTTAAACCTTTGAAAACCTTCGTTAACGTCACCCTTTTTGTGCCCTTTTTCTTCAAACCACAGCTTTCACTGGCTGCTATTCCCCGGTCTTTCCGCCAGAGGGAAACAAATTCAAGGAAGTCTGGAATGAGAGCAGGTGAGTCATACTTAATCGTTATGTACGATGCCATTGCAAGAAGAAAAGGCTGGGTTTGCCTCGACTCTAGTCTCTGTAGTACAGCCACGTATCTGTTTGTTCGATTCTTTTTCGGTGATAATTCTAATTTTAGTAAAATATCGAATCTTCTCTTGACTGGAGTTGTCCAGTCAAGTCCTTTCGGTACATTATGTTTCTGGGCTGTTTCTCATTCACCGCCCGTGTCAGTTTGTGTGGCCTGTTTTCTTCTTTCTGCCAGTAATAATATAGTAGTAAAACTATGTGGCACTAATGACTTTTCTTCACATATACTTCATTTGCACACCTGGCTCTTTCCATGGTGCTGAAACACGGTAACGTCGCTGTCCGTGGTGCTGATTCTAAATCCTCTAACTTTACCGCACACCTAAAAAATAAACATCGATAAACAGTCGTCATGTGTATGTTGTAAATATAGAGAATGTAAAATTTGATTGGTTGTTGTCATAAATAAGTGGGAATTCTCTAAACACTGTCCCGGTGTCTTATAACTTCCGCATGAACTACATTCACACATTTTTGTTGTTTTCATCCATGCAGCGCGTGTTGTCCTCTAGTACAGTTAAAAACACTGATGGGGGGGGGGGGGGGGGGGAACAAGAGAATTGCTGCAGGCGCAAGCTTCTCCAGGCTGTTTGTTGTTGTTGTTGTTGTTGTTTACCTAGCTGACATCTTGCCTCCGCAAACATGTTCTTTTCATCAGCTATAGAGGATTCTAGTCATAAACATTTCCGGTATCATCGCTTGTTTTTTATATTGTGAATGAACGATATTTTTATTTATCTATAATCTTTAATATCTCGTTTATGTGAATCATCCGATAAGGCTTTGGATCGGTATGTATCGGTTTGTACAAGTTTGTCCTTGTTCTTGTGCAGTCCGGTGCTGTTTGGTGTTTTCCCTCCAGTCCGTGGACACAGTTGCTCCGTCCTTCCTGGTCTCCGTCCATGACCAGGAGTTTTAGGGTGAGGGTCTGGTTTAAACTGCTTTCCCACTGCCGTCCAACCACTAGGACGTGTTTGGAAGTGAGAGAAGCAAGTGTGGACGGAAAAGGGAGAGAGGGCATAGCACCTCCCACGTCCTATCTGCCAGGGGAGGGGGGGGAAGAATAGAGAGGAGAAAAGAGAGAGGGAGAGTCTGCTGTTGGTGGTGTTAGAAATCGGACGAGACATGAGCTCTACATGAACCGCGGAAAATGCTTTAGGACGCTTTCACCCGTGTGAACGCAGAGAGGACGAGCCTGAAGCGGAGCCTTCTTCTTCACCAGCAGGTATGGAGAGATGCTGATCCTTCATGGAGGTCGGATGTTGGTATTCAGTGGCGTTCACCGCGGCGCAGCCGCTGCCTGCACGGCGCTGTGGCAGCGGGCGGGGGCGGGGGCTGCGGCTGCGCGGTTCGCTCACTAATCCTTGTTTTCCGGACAAAACGGGACGGAAAATCTCCGTATAGTCGACTAAATGGGTGTTTGTCCAGGCTTGTCACGACCCGGTGGCGTGTTGTATGTATATACTGTGTGTGTGTGTGTGTGTGCGCCCGTACAGCCATGTTGGCAGTGA